TGATTTTTTTGCCTTTGGAGCCAAACCCCCCCCCCAAAAAAAAAAAAAAAAAAAAAAAAAAAGAAGTCTTCCTTATCACCTTTTTACAGTCAGGGAGCAGGCCTTGGAACAAAGGTTTCCACAGACAATTAGATTTGTTTAATGTTTTTAAAAAAATTACCTGTGACTGAATAACTGCATTAGGAAATTCAAACCGCTTCTTGATGTCGTCCAACATTTTGGCTCTGTCATATAACACTAACTCTCACTCTGCAAGAGAGATTAAAAAATATACTTAGGACTAGGAAAGAGCGCATGCTATTTGCCAGAAAATAATACACAAGATTTATGTTGTACTTAACAGCAGATGTAAGCATTGAAGCATTTTCTTGCCCCTCCTAAGTCTACCACATTACCTTGCTTTATGGGCTTAAAGCCAAAAAACTGCTGAATACTCATTGGTCTTGCACAAAGAATGCAGACATTTCTTAAAGCTGGACCAAATATACAGTTACACATGGCACAGCATATGTGTACTCTGAGAGCATTTATCCTTGAGAGCATTTAAGTGTACCTTATTGACTTGAAAATGGGACAGCTGAAGAGGATTGTTCTCAGTTTCTAAAACATGATTTAAACCACAAAATTCTTCACTAATTTTTCAATTACTTCATGCAAAACCAGAAGTAAAACAAATAAAAGACACACCTGTGAGACTCTAAATGGCAACTGTAGTTAGGGGCTGGAACGCTTGACAAAAAACCCTTTCTCTATAAGTCAGAATATGCAGGCACACACAAGCACATGGGAACCTGAATTGGAGAGAAATCAGAACTCAGCTTACCTCCTTGTACACCAGTGAAACTGATCACAACAGCAAATATTCAAACATTTCAGTTTACTGTAAACACACCTCCGGTCACTTGGGATGGCTTCCTTAAAAAAATAAAAAAACTAGCACTTGCTGAAAATCTACATGTAATCCTTTGCAATAAGCACTGAGAAAACATACTCATGCATAGCACTGATTTCAAGACATGCTATCAGTGTGATGCATTCAGAATCTTGCCACTTATTTTCAAAAAGATGGAATTAAACCTTGAAAACATGCAAATGCAGCATGTGCCACAACAAATACCATTCACAGCAAGAAAACTCTAAATTAATAGTCACCACCTCAATAAATATAAATTCCTGGCAGTTAAACAGCAAAATATTCCCATATACTTGTGAATTACATTTCTGAAAGTTCAGGAGGAAAAAAACCCCAAAACTGTTAACTGCACTCAGAATTATGCCAGTATGGGTTTGTGTAGTTTTAGAACAGATTTAATTGCATTTTGAGACAATAGGTGTCCATATAATAAATAAACACGCATTACTAGAAGTGACATCTTGCTTTTTTTTTTAAAAAAAAAAGAAGCATGATTGCTACAGCAAACAATTCCAGATATACCTAGATCTGCTGAGCATGTCTAATTACTCCACTGGATCTAGATGCATTCAATCTATTTGTATATACCAACTGAGTCACAAGAAACAGCCCCCTCCAGTTCTACCTAACAAGCAGCAAAATGATAGAAGGTTCCTTTTCGGGTGGTTTTGACAAAAACATACTGGAATTATATTATATCTGACCACCTTGGTGGCCCCTACTAGACCTGCTCCAGTGTCCCTTGTACTGAGGAGCCCAAATTCTGGGGCTATCTCACAAGTGCCACACAGAGGAGAACAATCCTGGTCACATTCTTATTAACACAGCCTGAGATACAGATGGCCTTCCTTGCTGCCACACTGCACTGCTGACTCACGTTCATCTTGGTGTCTACTAGGACACCCCATAGTATAGACCTGCCTCCTAGAAAGTCAGCCCCTGCCTGTACTGGTGCATAGGATTATTTCATTCCAGATGCAAGACCTTGCATTGCTCCATGCTGAGTTGCAAGAGGTTCCCATCAGTCCATTTCTCCCGACAGTCCAGGTCCACCTGAAGAGCACCCTGTTTACCAGTGCATTGAATGCTCTCTGCAATCGGCCACAAATTTCCTGAGTGCACTCCATCTCATGATCCAAGCCACTAACGAAGGCACTATGAAGTGCTGGGCTCACTGCCGATGCCCGTGGGACACCATTACTTGCCAGCCTGATAGACTTTACACTGTGGATCACCACTCCTGGAGCCCAACCATTCAGCCAGTTTTCCACTGACTATATTGTAACTTACTCAGGCCATATTGCACTCATTTGGTGATAGGGAAACAATGGAAGACTGTATCAAAGGTCTTGGTAAAGAATACAACATCCAGACCTCCTCTTGTTCACAGCACAAGTAATCTCATTATAGAAAGCAATGATGTTGGTCAGGCAGGCATGAGTTACCCTCGGTAAATCCACGCTGACTGCTCCTAGTCACACACTGTTCTTGCATTTAAAAATGGCTTCTACAAGGATATGTTTCCCAGCCTTCCCAAGGACTGAAGTGATACTGACTAGCTTGTAGTTGACTGGATCCTGCTCATGCCCAGAAACACGCTCCAAGAGGGCGCACTCCATGATCTTCCCACAGACTGAAGTGAAGTTGACATGCTTGCTGTACTCCACACTGACCTTTTTATCTTTTCCAAAAATGGGTCAACATTTGCCTTTCTGCAGTCATTGCATATCTCCACAACATTTTGAAGATTAACAGAGAGCAACCTCACCAGGGCATTGGCCAGCTCTCGTAGCACCATGAAAACATCCTACGTTTCTTTGTTCAACATTTTACTATTAATGTAACAACAGAAGCTCCTCTTGTTGCTGCTGACATCCCTTAGAAGTTTCAATTTGCAATGAGGTTTGGCTTTTATATCACCATCTCTGTATGCCCAAGCAATGTTTTCAAACTGTGCCTCTGTAGACTTCTCTGCTTCTGCAGACTTCTCTGCTTCTGCCTCCTGTATGCTGTCAGTTTTGTACTAGAGCACACTGTTCAGTCTCCCAATACATCTAGTGGTTTCCTGAGTATCAGGATAGTCTTTTCTCACATGTTATACTGTACTTACAGCTCTGCCAGCTTTCCTGAGCTCCTTCACCCTTCAAAGCCACCACTCATAGGTCCTACCAAGGTGTGCCCTGAATAAGTCAAGATCTGCTCTCCTGAAATTCAGGGTCTGTACTCTCCTCATCCCACTCTTTCTGGGCTCTAGCCATTTACAAGCAAATGTACTAAAAGGAAATAAAATCGCACTGTAGAAAGAGGGAGAAAGCTGCACCCTCAGTTGAACGGATACTTATGTAGTTTCTGACCTGAACTTCAGAATTGGGAACCAGATGAATCAAAAAATACAGATGCCACGCTGCACAGTGCTGCAAAGCTTAAATGGCAATGCAATTGCAAAACATTGTAAAAAATGCAGGAATCTAATGAATCTAATGGCATTTTTTTGAAGAGCACATTAAGAACACATAGCATTGGAAACCTGACAAGCTAGAAATCCAATGCCACCACCCTTAACTACAAAAAGAACTTCAAGCATCACAATGACATCATCATTCAACAAAGCACGTCTGTCCATACTAAAGGAGTCTGCTGAGTGGGCATGGATTTGCCTATGTGCTTAATACTAAGCAAGAAAGGTTCTCTTTCTTTAGAAATTACATTAAAGAACTAGAAGCTATAAAATATAGGTAAGTTAAAACATCTAATGCTCAAGTATTGTGAGGAGAAAAGAGTATAAAACTTACTTTTAATACATTGTTTTAGTATCTATTTCCCCATGCAAATTTTGCATGGGTACAAAGAGCAGAAAGTTTTTTATCCCAAATGCATACTTAACAAAATATCTGTGGAATATTATTTCACACTAGTAAAATACAAACATTAAATGCTATTTTATAGTTCTTCTGATCTATGCATACGATTTCATAGTTATTCATCTGTGCAAAAATAAGTCTTTCTTCTCACTATATGCTATTTGGAACACTTACTTTCTCTCTGCTGACTTTGTACCCCCAAACAAACAGATCATGGAAGATGATTATTGTCAGTGTTATCAGAGTAGAATTAACATTTCATGCTTCTAAGAAGAGGTAAAAAGTTCACAGACAACAGTTAGCAAATTTAAAAATCACCAAAAGGAAAACTTTAAGGAAGTAGTACCCAAACAGCAGTGATCGCTGTTGTCTGAAAGCTTTCAAGAGATATGCTTTCACATAACATTCATGTTGGCACCTGGAGGTCAACCTAACTGAGCAGTTCCAGACTTCAGTCAGAAAACAGTTAGGAATTGCTAAATGCATTCTTTAGCTGGGCACACCTTCCCGTGATGCTATTTATTCCTTTACACCCCACTTCTCAAAGTGTCATTTTTAGTCTTCCCAATAGCAAACAATCTCCATGGAAACACCATACAATCATTTGTGCACTCAGAGCGATGATACGATGAGACAAAACCAGTAATAACAGCATGTTCAGAGCAGCACAGCTGCTGTTGGCAGTAACTGCAGAGCCAAAAGATAGCCAAAATCATTGCAGAAAATTCCAAGTATAATTTATAAAGCAGAACCTAAGGACTACCTAATTCTGGAGTTAATTTAAAAAAAAAAAGCAAACCCTTTTCCTAACCCAGTGTATCGCTTTTTGGCACTGAAGACATGAAAGCTATCAAAATTAGGTCAAGACTTAAGACACTGTAAAAAGACAGACATAAAAAAAATAAAAAAGTGGGGGTTTTTTTCCCCCTTCTTCAGTTTAGGCAGCTAATTTAATTTGGAGACCACTTTCTGTTAATTTAAAAAAAATTCTGAACAACTGCTGTGTCACCTGGAGGAACTATTGTTACTGTCTAATCTTGTCAGTATCCCAAACCCCTTCTATAAACAGGTATAAGCATCAGTACTTCTTGCAGACCTTTTCTCTCCTTCCCAGGAATGGCACAATTCCCAAACAATAATCCCAAGAATCAGAAAAGTAACAGCAGAATAGTGTTTCCTATATTTGACTGTCTTTTACCACAAAACCAAGGATGGCCAGGGTCATGAGAGCTGGCAAGGATCTCTACAGTCTTTCAACAACAGCCTTGAAAACTAGTGACATTCTTTAACGCAGCTTACAATATTTGGGACAGCATTCTGTCTAAAAAAACCCACTTCGAATCTTCTTTAACAGCTTAGAGCACTGTGTAATTTATTTCCATGTTGCAGCTGACAGAGATATTAGTGTTATACAAAATACAGCCCTTGCAAAGGCAGCAGCATCACCCTGAAACAAATCCATCCATATCCAACACAAGCTCCACACGAGCGGTTCTTTCTCATTTCCCTGCATCCAGAAATAAAAAGTAATACATGAATACTATGAAAGGGAACAACCATCTTGCAGATTCTTATGGTAGCCCTCTCCTAACATACTGCAAAGGACCCTGCCAAACTAGCTGGTCTCAGGAGGCATACAGTAAATATCCCCAAACTTACGCACATAAAACAGCAGCTTACCTTGTTAAGCTGTAACTAATTACATCTCACTCCTCCTGACATCTTTTTTTGTCTGTTTGTCCTAAGTCATGTGTTCTCCTGTTCTCACTGCTGAAGAGGCACTCTACACCATCAACCACACAAAAAACACCCACACCAAACAAAGCCCCAACAGAGACACACACAAAGGTAAAGAAAAAAAACAGACAAGGTATAGGAAAGGGACCCTTGCTTGTTATCCCAACATAATCAATATGACTGGTAAGCATCTGTGGTGGGTTGAGCTTGGCTGGCTGCCAGGTGCACACCAAAGCCACTCTACCACTCCCCTCCTCAACTGGACAGGGGGAGAAAATATAATGAAAGACGCATCCACCTGCTCTGGCATGGGGTCATCCCTGGGCTGCAGGTGGGTATCTGCTCCACCATGAACCCCCATAAGCTGCAGGGGGACAGCGTGCCCCACCAAGGGCT